AGAGCATGTATGTACAAAGTTTCATCAAAATCCAATGAGTGGTTGTTTAGATATCAGTGGAACAGTCATGGAACCGCTAAAAATTAGCTAATTATCATGCAAATTAGGTAATTAATATGCACAGATTTTTACCAAAAACTAATCAAATCTGCGCATATGTTCAGAGCATCTATGTACCAAGTTTCATCAAAATCCAATGAGTGGTTCTTTAGATATCAGTGGAACAGTCATAGAACAGCTAAAAATTAGCTAATTATCATGCAAATTAGGTAATTAACGAGCATGGATTTTTACCAAAACCTAATCAAATCTGCGCATTGGCCCAGAGCATCTATGCACCAAGTTTCATCAAAAACCGATGTATGGTTCTTGAGATAGCAGTGGAACAGTCGGACACACATACACATACACATACACACACACACATACACAGACACACTAACTGCAAAGACTCCCATTTTGTGCTTCGCGCATGGGAGTCAAAAATGATTACACCAGAATATTATGTAATCAAGCCAGGCCCCAAAAAACGAAAGTCAAAATAAGCTTAACTTTTTCCAAATTAATTTATGTTAAAACGATAAATTTTCGATAAAATTTAAAAATCAAGTACTGGAATAGTTTTGTTGTTAATATTTTAACAACACATCATTGCACAAACATTGATCTGTTATCTCTGTATCTTAGAAAATAGCCATAACAGGCCAATTTGAGTAAAGTGTCCCCTCCCCCTCTATGCACACCACAAAAACATGGTTGAAACTACAGTACTACCTGACTATTGTTGAAGGTTCCTCTTCTTTTAAAATTCCTTTAGGTGAAACTACACTCGCATAAGCGGGTGGTGGCGGAGGTGAAAAGTTTGAATTGTATGCATTAAGAACACTGGGTGATACTGCACCATAGGGGCTCCACGCAGTTGAAGAACCACCCTGTGGTGGCGCTGTTGCCGGCCGTGTAGCTGGAAGATGGACGACAGATTCTGGCGGAGCACTTGGTACAGCTGCATTAATTCCACCACCTACAGCTGCAGTTCCACCAACAATAGCAGGAGTGACTTGTTTTTCAGGTTTTTTCGCGATTTTATTTTCCTTGTCAAGTTCTATCGCTAATCGCCTGTCAATTTCAATCTGTCTTTGTCGCTCTTTTTCTTTTTCAATAAACGACTCATCTTCATGTAGAATTTGAGCTTTTTGTTTTTCAAATTGTTTTTTCTCTTCCTCTTCTAACTGTTTTCGTATTTCCTCTCTCTTTCTCGCTTCTTCCTCTTTTCTGAGTCTCTCTGCTTCTTGTTGCTTAGCAAGCTCAGCCTGTTTCTTTTTCTGCAAAAATAATTTGTTTTAATTATAAAATACTAAATATCACTGTTGTTTCTCCAGATATTTATATATGACAAGATTCAAAATCCAAGAGATTCACGGTACATAAAGTTTTTGCTACAAAATCCATACATTATTTAAGATTACTCTAAAATACTTTATTTTAGCTGGAATTAATTGTGTGAAAAGACATTTTGGCTGCTTTGTATGAAGATTATTTTCACTGATTTTTGATGAGTTGAGTGTGAACCATAGGAAAAAAGGTATTTTTTAGTTTCACTGATTTATACCTATAGCAAAAATAAATTATAAGTGGAATATTTTACAGTATGTGATAAGGCTCAGTCATACCATGTATCTCATACTATCATATACTATGCGCTATCCAGTTGTCAACCATACCTGGTCAAAATACAAGTACCTGGGGTACAAAAGTATAGCTTAGACTGAATTAGAATTATGTTTATATAGTAAACATATTTGTGAAAACCATAACAACGTACTCCTGCTTGATGTGCTATATCGGTAAACTACTCTCCGAACAACATCAAATTTTTTTTCCATATTTATTTATTTCTGCAAAAATGTTATGATGACATGTAGTAGATGGGGAATTATAAAAAATTTGTTCAATATTAACAAATAATTTTTCAAAGGTTAGATAAAAATATGTAAGGATGCTGCACCAAAATGTTGGGTTGAAGTCAATAAAAATTCCTGAAATAATTGAATAATTTAAATATTGCATCAATCGTATTTGACTTATTAATTATAGACGAAAATATTTTTCACATTTTGTCAGAAGTACCCATCTTATAAAAACCTTTTTCACCCTAGCATGAAATGAGAATTTTTACTGTCGAAACTAATGATAAATAGCACGAAAATGCATTATTCTCGTTAATGTTTGACCCATTGTTTTTATGCAAAAAGTAGCTTGGCAACCGAATTTTTTATATCTGGTTTATAAGAACAACAGCATAAAACAAAACTACTGCAGAATACTTTATTTTCACTTGAATTAATTTTTGCTGAAATGGCTTTTTGGGCATTTTGTATGGAATTTATTTTCACTAATTTTTGATGAGTTTAATGCGAAATATAGGAAAAAAAGTATATTCGCTGGATTTTATTTTCACAGAGTCATTCCTTCAGCAAAAATAGCGAAAATAAATTCCAAGCGAAAATAAAGTATTCTACAGTATATCATAAAAGTCAAGGACAACCGATATGTTTTAATGATAGAAAACCATTCTTAATATGATGTAAAATGAATACAAATGACTGGTATTAAATATCCAGGCTGTTGTTATACCAGTCAACAGCTGTTATAAGTGAGAATAAGCTGCCTTTCAAACACACATAATTATGACATCAGTGGTTTTTAAACCAACAGTGACACAATATGTATTCAACACCACACAATGGGATGTAAATAAATTGATGTGAAAACTGGTGTGTTTTAAAACAACATCTCTATATCATTAAGAATGAATACGAAATTACAAGTCACTGTAACTGAAATTTAAGTTAGTCGACATGCTGTACCTATGTGCTTTTATAAAAATAAGATGGAGTAGTATTTTTTTATTTTAATTTGAAAACTTGCATCTCTAAGTCTTTCTATCAAATTGTTCCACATAGAGACCAGATGATTATGTGCGCTCCTAATTGTGTTCAGCAAATCACAACCACTTTTTTATTAATTTTTACATCGCTATAATTTTATTTCATTATTATAAATTCCATGTAAATGTTTAATTTAAAATTTTTATTGTAATCTTTTTTTATTAAACCAATTCAATGCTTGTGTTCTCATTAAACAAAGTGTAACTTTTTTCAGTTAAAAATATTAAAATATGACATTAAGGGAAACATTGATTAGAAGATGAGGTTATAATATAATAGGATAAGTCACTGCAGTCATATGAGATTCAGCGGGAGGAATGCTTCTTGTTAACAACTGACTTGCTCAAAATTTTTCAAATCATAGTAATAGGCAAGAGACTTTCATTACCTCCTGTTCTTGTATAATTGCAAGTTCATTCTCGTATCTTTTCTTGAGTCTTGTTTTAACATCTTCTGCTTTGGGAAATACTAATTTGAGTTTCTGAAAAGTAAAAGAAAAAAAATTAATCAATATCTTGGTGTGCATTATAAATACATTATATTATACATAAATCATAAATTATCTCAGTTTTATGCTGTCTACATCATCACTGAAATATTGGTAACCATAAATAATAAATTTTAAAGGAAATAACCAAATTTTGTTTAATGAAAAAAGCATGGCTGATTCTGCTGATATTTAGTGCGCCAAAACTCAAAGTCCAAATAAAACATCAAGTATATACAATATTTAGGACAACATGACATCTTTCTATCATGATGGCATTACACAGTATGATCGGCATAATGCCAATGTACAGATGTGTCTAAGCATCGTCAATCGCATGCGAACCTAACATCCCAAGAAGGCATACTGATCAATGAATGAATCTTAGCTATTATTGAGTTTACGGCACACTCACACAGGATAGGAGGGATTCCGTTTCGGTGCACAATACCCGGGAGAATGTGAACTCAACATGTAAGGATTATTAATCAAGCACAGCCACCACTACGCTATGGATGAGCATCAAATAATATAGTTTGTACAAGCAATTAAAATATGACATGAAACAATCAATAACGTTACTCACAATTATGAAATAAAAACAGCAAGCCATGACATACTAAGCCATCATTGTGGCTTAAAAATAGCACTCTAAATACAATGAGAGCAGCTGATATGATGTCATTCTTGAATATTCATGATTATGCAAATAAAAGTCAGAGGATGGCATTTGACTGGTCCAGAGAACTACATTTTGAGATAAACGTTAGTACTCACGTCTCAAACATTGTAAAACTAAATAGAATTTGGATAAACTAAATAAATTGAATATACAGGTGCTAGTGATCGTGAATTAGTGGTTGAATGCAATGCCACCGCTACATGCTAGAAATCATCAAATACCAGTGGAATATTCAGATATGATGACTGGTTGCTAAGAATTGGGCATAATATGTGAAAAGCCAAGATAGTGGATTGGGTGCCGTGTACTGGGGGGTATGCCCAACTTGCCAATCGGTGGATAGGTGCCAATACTGATAGTTTACTGCCCCCTAGAGACAAGGTATACTTAGACTTTTGTTTAATTCAGAGCCTATCTGTGTGCAGGATATGTCTATATTGCCAAATGATAGATAGGTGATAATACTGATAGTTTAGTGCCCCCTAGAGACAAGGTGTACCTAAACTTTTGTTTAAGAGATCATCTGTGTAACCAAGGATATGCCTAAATTGTCAATTGATGGACATGTGACAATACTGACAGTGCTCCACAGAGTCAAAGTTTTGTCAATTTGCACAAAATAACCATGTAGCCAATGGGAAATTACCGGTATAAAAAAATATACATAACAATGTGAAAAATGACATTCAAAATGTTAATCATGATAGAATGATGACTCACAGTTTTGTTAACTGATTTGTCTTGATGGGTTGCTTCTTTATACCCCGGGTGCTTAGGTAATTTTTCAACAAACAATCTGTGTAAACAAACAGACAAAGACGTTCAATTACATAGTCCCTGTCTAGTGCTTTCTAGTGTTTTTGACATTATTTGAAAAAAAATCATTACTACAGTACTTCATGAAAGAACATTTTCTACAACCTTACATAATACAGTGACAGAAAACAGAGTTGGGGACATCTCCTCAAAGCTAATACAAGTATACAAGTACGCTATTCTGGGATGCAAACATAACCATGTATCAATTTTCAAAGTCATGTGACTCAACACAGAACTATTTATCAAGTATTAAATGATTTACTTACGTAATAAATTTTGAGTACAATATGAAGGCACTTTCTAGTTCCCCTTCTTCATAGTAAACATTAGCCTGAATGTATAATAGATATAGTCAAGGAATGAGAGCGAGACTTTTACAAGAAATTATACAAGTACCTGGGTATCAGCCAGAGCTTGAACTTCAAGGTAACATTAAAGGCAATTGTTTTGATGTCCAAAGAGTTGGCCTTGGTGCCCAATAAATATTCCCAATTTTATTCCTATAATGCCAAGGCAGTTTAATCAATCTTTCTCTCGTACCCTCTCAACTCCAAAGCTCAAGCCCTGGTGTTTTATATATTAATTAATAAATTTGCCCTATCAAATAGAATAAGTCAATGATGTTAGTGATCCAATTTTTTACATTGCTTACATTTACAGGGAACACATAGCCGATTTTCCCAATCAATTTCACTATTCATGGAGGCTTTCAGCAAGCAATGCTTTAAGGCACAAATGTTATGCACTTGTGTCTCAGCACAGGAGATTATGTGCATTACGAGGGCAAATACTCACTTTGTGTGAAGACCCTAATATTTATTTTACTGTATTTGCTCTATTAGGAGTGCATGCACTTATATAACTGACAGAGGTGTTTCTATTGTATTTATTTGCAATTAAACATTTTAACGACTCAGAATTAGCATTACTCACCATTCTGATAATTTCTATACCAGATCTGAAATACCTCTTAACAGGAATATTGCTGTCAACTTCCACTTTGGAGCCAGCATTAAACAGCGCCCTCACACGCTCACCAGGATCATGATTATCAACTGCTGACATACTTGATGTCTAATCACTGCAGGAACAAATAAAGAACAATCACCTTGAGTATTTGGGGGGGGGGGGGGTAGGGTAGAGTTTAGTTATTTTCATTATGGAAATTTTCAACTGTTTTTGTTTTACTGGCAATTAGCTGACGTACATGGAAAATCTCACAATTGTATATACAGATAATGAGTTAACTAATTTTACTAAAACATTCAGATTTTTAGGTGTTGGTGCATAGATCTCTTGTAATTTCTTGAAAATATGATCTTGTCGATAAAATTAGTACATACCAAATACATACTTGATAAACAAACTTCACATAGAACACAATTATGGCACAATATCAACTATTTATAAATAAAATAACATTACGGAACTAACTATCGACAACTATCTTGAATTGTGTCAAATGCAAAAAGATGACAATGAAGCTGAAACATTTTTTGCTCTCTTGTGTGTGATTACTTTGTTTAGTTGCTTGTTTCATGGGTTGTGTGCACATTTAAATTAGAGAATAAGGATTTGGGTTATGGTGCACTGATCGTATTGTTTATTTGATTTCTATACCATACCATATATCTAAAACATAATGCCAAGATGTAATGCTACTGTAAAATACTTTATTTTAGCTGGAATTAATTTTTGCTGAAATGACTTTTTGAGTATTTTGTATCAAATTTATTTTCACTGATTTTTGGCGAGTTGAATGTAAAATATAGGAAAAAAAAGTATATTCGATGGATTTTATTTTCACTGAATCATTCCTTCAGCGAAAATTAAGTAGGGGTTGTCATATTGTAGTTGGATGGCGATTTTGCTTTCAAATATACCAGGGAAAGTGTTCTATTTGATTTGTGTAATGAAGTGTTCGTATACAAGAGATTTTCCATGCAAAAACGCTGAATGAAGTCTATTTTATTAGCGGTTGGTTTAAGGTTACCCCCAACGAATCGTTTGGATGTGAAAATTTATTTTCTCCCTGATTTGTAGGAAACTGTTTCTCAACTTGTCTCTTTATCAATCAGTGTTCAAGATGGCTACCTCGATATAGTAAATATCGATGGGCATTTATCATATTATCACTTGTACGCCAGCTGACTGTGGCCATTCTCAGGTTGACCAGGGAAACTACTTTTACATCACGCCTCGCAAAGCAAATCGTTCAGGAGAATCCATACATGTACCAGGCTACGTAAAAGCATTCTATGTTCCCTAATGCAATATAGACTCGGCCATAGTGGACGCGACCATGAGTCGGCACCAGCGAGATTCGAAAGCCAACTGTTTAGTCAAAACCCAAGCAGTTAGCCAATTCGCTAGCGAGTTTGTAAATTGACTGCCCCAATACTTCTGAGTCTTGCTGTAATAAAGGATGCTGGTTGTCATGTAAAGGGTTCGAATTGATACTGATTTATTGGTATGCAGTCAGCCAATCTACAATATACATGTACCGGTTGTAGTGGCAGTTTTTCATTGAGCCATAAAAATTAACATTACAAAAAAAATATATCTACATCAGTAATAGGAAAGAATAAATGAAATACATATGTATATAAAATGCAATTAGTTACAAATTTACAAGATTTGAGTACATGTTTAGTAAATACTAGTACAACGTACACGTTTAAAACGTCCATGGCTACTGACATTTCTAATAATAGAAGCCGGACGATTATTCCAGATACAGAAACGCCCATGAACTACAGTGAATGCTTACAACAATTTGAAAAAAAAAAATCATT